GTAGTCGTGTCCGTCGTGTCCTTTCAGGGCAGTTTTGGCCTTGTTGTTGGGAAATCAACTAGGCCTTCTAGGCTTGCTTCCTCCGCCCCGCCCCCAAATCACCTAGTCCCAGTCTTTTCCTGTGAAAAAGCGCTGAATATTAAAAATATAAATAAGACTAGAAGGCCTAGGTCTAGGAGTGCTTCAAACACTCATTAATAATTCATAAGCTTATTGGCAAATCATGTCAACCATAATATGTCACGTGCAGTGGCTTTAAACCTGATAAAACACTCCTAATTAGTATTCTTTATATAAAGAATACTAATAAGGCAGTATCTCATTAGTATTCTTTATATAAAGAATACTAATAAGGCAGTATATCTATTGAATTTGTAGTCGTGTTTGAAGCCGTTTAATAAACTCGCAGGTCGTGTTTTATTAGGTCTAAAGCTACTCGCGCTGCGCGCTCCTGTCTTTAAACCTAATAAAACACTCTAACTCGTTTATTAAACAGTACAATAAATGTTACCTGTTTGACAAATATTGTGACGGTTTTAGATGATTCGCATGATTTGTTAGAAGACGTATGCAGTGAGACGCACATGCCTTACTAAAAGTGGCAGAAAATATATTCATGTGACTTTTTGACTAGAACAACGTTTCGTTGTCATGCCGGATTACACGCGTAAAAATTATGAGCCATTAACAGAATTGAACAACGTTGTGCAGCCCACATTGTTCACACTTATCAACAATATTGAACAATATTGTTGAGCATGAATCGGGTGTAACAATATTGTTCAACATTGTTGACAACTGTAAACAATGTGGACTGCACAACATTGTTTAATTCTGTTTTCATCAATATTGCACCAACCTGATCGTTTTAGCTGTGTATCACTCCTTTGGTGTTTGTGTACGTCATGTAAGGCGCAATATAATGAGACGACAAATAATGATGTATAAAAACAACAATAATCATGGATATATCATATCAGTGTTCTACAGCGTGACGCGCGCAATCCCGCGGTTTGTTGGACAAAATTATACATAGTCGTTTGCTTGAAGCGCATTTAACTTTATTTTGTTTGATATTTCTTTGTTTTTGCAGCTACGTCAATGCCATGGCTTCCGTTGATTTGCAAGAAAAGGCAAATTTTGCAAGACTTAGTAGACTTTTGGTAGACAAAGGAACTGAAGCTTTGAGAAGTACTTTAGATGCAAAACATCCACCTGCTAACCTTCCTGCTGCTCTTAATGCCAACAAAACGTCCCTTCTAACGTTAAAGGTACCTGTAAAGCGAAAGCCTCGAGTTATAAATGACACCCAGTGGGATTTACTGTTTCCTCCGTCCGGCAACCCGCCAGATTCAAAACTCTTTGATGTCACATTGCTCACGGTTCTTTTGCGGAACATTTGTGGCTTACCCTGTCCCGCAACAGGATGGGATAGGATGCCCAACAAAGGAGATAGAACTGTGTCAGCAAATATCACAAGAGTGAAGTTATTCAGAAATGAAGTTTATGCCCATGTCTCTTCAACTCGAGTGGATAAAACAACATTTGAATATTTATGGCAGGAAATTTCCCAGGCATTGGTCGATTTAAACATTCCACAACAGGAGATCAATGATTTGAAAACGGGTTTATTGGGTCCTGTAGAAAAAAATTACGTGCAGATAATAACGGAATGGATCTCAAAAGATGAAGATTGTAAGAATATGCTGGAGGAGTTCCAAAAACAACTCACCCAGTCAAATTTACAGCAACACGATTTACAACAATCCATGCAACATTTGGAACAAGTTTCCCAGAAAACCTGGGATGGGGTACAAGAACTCCGTCAGGCTAGTTTGAGCCAAAGTGAAAGCGAGAACGCACTGAAAACTCTGGCAAAGCATAATTTCAAAACCAAAATAAGACGTAAAGTCAAGTTATTTCACCCTGGCACAAGAGATTGGCTATTAAAGGAGGTTGAAAATTGGTTTACAACCGAAAACGAATCAAGATTATTGCTTATAACTGCCGGACCTGGGTTTGGCAAAAGCGTGTTCGCGGCAAAAGTTTGCGAAATCTTTGAAGACAAGGACCAATTGGGTGCTTGCCATTTTTGTGATTTTAGCGATTCAAACTTAAAAGATCCTATGATAATGCTGGAGTCTATCGTAAGCCATATGTGTGCAAATGTTCCTGGCTTTAAAGAAAAGCTTCTTGATCACTTAAACCGACATCATAAAGTCAACAGCTTGAAGGATGCTTTTCAAATATATTTGCAAAATCCGCTTGACGAGTTGGAAGTAGAACCCAGATTAATTGTGATAGATGGCTTGGATGAAAGTGCGACCGATGGTAAAAGCGACATGATGAAATTGATTGCTGATCATTTTCCAGATCTTCCGAAGTGTGTGAAGGTGATGGTGACTAGCAGGCCAGAACTTTTCATAGAAAGATTGAGCCATATTCGGATGATGAAAATTGAGCCAAATGATGAGAAAAATAAATCAGATCTTCTACAATATCTAAACGTTTGCCTTCCATCTATTGCAGCTAGAGATGGAGGAAATCCGTCAACAAAATCCCATCATTATGACTCGCATTTTAAAATCGTTCCTGCTATTGTTGCAAAGTGCGAGGGTTCATTTCTGTATGCGTTTCACGTTCAAAATGAGTTGCTTAAGCGTGAAAATCGTGACACTATGACGTGTAAAGAGATCATGTCCTTTCTTCCTGAAGGAATGGGTTCTGTATACTATGAATATTTTCATCGCCTTGAGGTCGAGCTTAAAGAAATAATGGACGAAAAACCAAATCTGTATAAGCTATTGGAACTGTTTGTAGCTGACAAAAAAATTTTTCTTTTGGAGTTCGTAGCTCGCGCTCTTGATTTAGATCGTGATTGTCGTGAAACAAAAAGAATTATCGATAAAGTCAACGAAGCTGTATCGTGTTTGCTGTTTGTTTCGAATGGCGTTGTGACCGTTTTTCACAACTCCGTATATGATTGGCTGCTGGAAAACGGCTACGAACGTCACGAGTATACTGTGAAAATCAGCAATGGTAAAAGACGACTGTGGCTAATATGCGAACAGATCTTTGAAGAAGTAAAAATGGAAGTTAGCTCAAGTCTTGATTTGAAGCTAACGAAGGAAGTGACGTATGCTCTGGAATGCGGGTATGATTATCTACTGGCGTGCAGTATGTCGGAAAGTCTTCGTTGGCTTGTCGATATGGTAATCGTGCATGTTCAAACAGCTGTCCACCCCCAAAGTACTGGTGATATTCTATGCATGTTAAGCGAGGTTCTTCACAGTAATGTAAAAACAAGCCTTAAATTACGACAACGCATTTCGTGGCATCTTTTTGAGGTTAGCAGTCTGGATAAGTTTAATCAACATTTTTCGTATTTAGAAAGTGTCCTTGCACGTTCCCCGGAAGGCTTATTCACAGATGACGAGAAGGGTATTGCGAAAGCGCTTGTAGCAAAATCCCCCCCGTGTGTGAAGCGTATTTCGGTTGGAACGAAAACTGTGAGCCTGCCTCTAGCCAAGCTTTTTCTATCCGCTATTTCAGCCGTTGGTGCGTCTTCCAATAAAAAGTTAACTGCTGTTGCATTGGAAGATGGAACAATCTGTGTTTTAAGCTTACCAGAACTAGTACTACTATGGCAGTATTCGTCTAAGAACGAGAACATTTCTTGTTGCACCTTTACTCCAGACGATTCGTCCGTTTTATACGGAAAATTAGAAACGGCACTTAACATTGCTGAGAAGAAGGAAGTGTCATTTTGGAAAGGAGAGGATGTAAAGGGGGTGACGTTCAAGTTTTGTGCATTTTCTCCAAGTGGTAATAGGTTGGTGACCAACGATGGTTCAAGCACTGTGAAGTTATGGGACGTTAGTGGACAATGTTTATTGGCAGATCTTTGCGCAGAGGATTGTCTTGACTTTTGCGGTTTTAGCAACACCGGACTTTTTATTATAGCAGATGAGAAAAATGCAGAGGAAGATGCTTATTGTGTGTGGAACGCCATTACATTCCAGAGAGTCGATCAAAGAAGCTTGTTTGTTTCCAAACTTAAAAAACTTGGTGGTGTTCCAAAAAGTGAAAGGTGTAATCATTGTGCTTGCCAGCAATATAGAGAATTATTTCCTTCTAAAAAACTAGAAATCAGTCCCTGTGAGCAGTTAAATCGGCGAGGAATTTACAACGGAATGGACTGCATTTTTTATTTGTACTCACAGTCTTTGCGTGTTATTGAATGTACTCATTTTACGACGCTTGCAGTATGGGAAATTTTTATCCGGATAGATGGCCATTTTACTATCGTTGATATTACGGCGATTGAAGACGATCTTTGGTTGTACGCCGATGAAACAAAGTTGACTGTCTTTAAGACAGCCCGACCGAAAGAACATCAATCCTGTCTGTCACTTCCGACACGTGTTGTTTGGTGCTCATTTTCTCCCGATGGCACTCGACTTGCCTCCTGTACATTAGATGGATTTATCAACATGTGGAATGTCGATACGTGTCAAATGTATCAACTTTTTAGAGATAATGTTGGAACATCCGAAGTTGCATGTTGGTGGTCAGATAAGGACCTGTTTGTTTGCCATATATTTGACGATATCCTTTGCTTATCAAAATATCCAGTTGATGAGAACTTTAAGATCATGATCACTCAGGGACAGCTAGTGGAAATATGTACCCTGGAGAAATTTTCGTCAATTTCAAGAGTCCTAGACTTTTCTGAAGGTTACCTTCTCGTTAGTTGCAGAATGGACTCTATTAAAGTTTACGATGTCAACAGGATTGAGCACGTACGCCCACTTGACGTCTTGCCGGGATATGAACCTGCGATGAGTATTATAGTTTCGGTCGGTGCATCTTTCGTTTTAGGTTACAGTGACAAACGTATTATTCTTTGGAAGAGAAGTGAAACTCATTCAACCGTTTATACCGTTTATGAAGTCTTCTTTTGTCACGATCTTGAAACTAAGATCTATAATCGTCTGTGTTGTTTCAGTAATGATTTGAAATACGCTGTGATTTGCTATACAATGTCCCAAAAACGACGCTACGCTGTTATTAATCTTGATACTCGTAAAATGGTAACCGACGATATCCAAGTGGTTGACGCACCTGATGATATGTCCACCAATGTTATGAAAGTGTTTTCTACCGATACGGTTGTTATTGTTGTAAGTCCGTACTTAATAGAAATTTTTGATTTGGGAACTTGGAAGCGCCTTGCGTTTTTTCATAACGATAATCTTAACATAAGCTATTTATGCCACTCCAAACTGTCTCCTAATGGAAGTGTGCTAGCGGTTCCTGACAGCTTTGGTGATATGGAATTCTTTCAATTACGCATTCCGAAGTGATCTTCAATACGGAATAGACTGAAAAGATTGTAAAGAATACATGATACCGATTTTCGTCCTTACCAGACCGTGGAATTAATTGAAAAGAAGACAAAAGTTTATGTAGTGGAGAACAACATGTGTATTTATCGTTGCAATCACGATGCGAATCTCTTGTGGCCTTTTGAAACAACCGTTTACTTTCATAGTAATGTCAGCAGACCCTGAATTGGTAATTGATGGAGTGTAATTGAAGTATAGAAATTGGGTGTCGATGATCTTTTGGGAAGCGGTTAGACTTTGCTTGGAGCCAGTCTAAAATGGAGAGGTGAGACGTCTCCTTCCCTCCGCTAGTCTGGGAGTTCACCTTGGGCACGTGATAGCACTCCATATAGCCCCCCTTACCTGGGTTACGGTTCTGGTGTTTGTCTTAGAGAAGTCAATCCAATGCAGCCGTTGTATCAAGACGTGAAAATCTGTGATTTAGCGTTGTAAACAGAGCGAGAACAATGTCTAAATTATTCATATATTGTAATTACTCAATTCTTTCCAATGATCTATTGTATTGGTAGCCGTTGCCGTCGCGTTGCTGACCTAAAATCGTAAGGTGTCTGTTGATGATGATGGTGACAATGATAATTATGATGATCATGATGACAACAACGTACGATGATGATGATGTTTAGAGAACGACGATGATGTTAATGGTAATGACGACGATAAAGAGAGGTTTAGCAAAGACGACCCGACGTCAAAGACGACGTGAAAATGGCGTGGTATGCCCGTCTATAGATGTGCCCACGCAATTTTCTCGTCGTCTTTGACGTCGCGTCGTTTTTGCTAAATGTGTTAATGATGATGACGAGGACGGTGACGACGACGACGACGACGACGACGACGACCACCACCACCACCACCACCAC